ATTGAGTGCGTAGCTGTTTTTATGTTGATTGTCCCATGCATATTCCTTCTTAATGTGTATTTACTTAGAACAACATTTATTTAAAAGGGCAACACTTTCTTGCTAGTCTTGTGATGAGTCTGCGTTCCAAATGAGTGGTAGGTAAAAACATATATTCATGTAGGACATTTTAGCCGCTTATAAACGTTAAGTTTTTTGTAATAATAAATTTTCCCTACCGTCCAATTCAGTTCAGTTCAGTATACATATTCAATTGAGAAGAACTACCAAGAAATTCAACTCAATATCTTTTTTTAAAAGCCAGTTTATATATATTACATACTTATATAGGCAGACATATCAATTCTAACAAAAATCCCGCGCATGAACAACTATTCCCATATTTATTTGCCATTTATTTGGTCATCTAATAAATTAGGTTACACCAATTTCTGTAATTCTTCCGCACCCACCCCTCCTCCTCCTTCCTCACTTCCCCACTCCTCCCTCACAGCTGATCACATTTTAAAAATTAAAACTTCGTATTTTCATACTGTAATTGAAATGTGACGTCACGAAATCTGAGTTCCAAGGGTGGTAAAGGGGTCCAATATTTCATGATGTTTTTATATAAAGTTTGTATTACAATGTCATAGTTTGTTGGTTCCCATTTATGTGGGAAATAATTTATAGGTGGCCTCTTACGTACCGGTATAAGAACCTTGAAGATCGAGGAAAACGTCTGGTTATATCCTCAGGGAATTGCAAAACTAATAGCCCACCTACATATAGTATATCTTTGCATCGCTAATACATATAAGCAATGCAGAGATGTGTATAAATAATACATCGACTAAAGATTTGCGATTTCATCGATATTAAATCGAATAAGTCTCAAATGGTAACTTTGAATACACAGAAAGGAATTTTTAGTACACATGTATAGGTGTAATAACAAATAATATATATACGGATTACAGTCGATTCATTCAAAGTAAACGTACATTTGCGGGCTTTGTTTTTTTTTTATTTTATATGAAAATAAATCAACAATTAATTAATTTAAGTATCAAAAAATGCTTTCACACTATAAAAACATTTTTCTCACAACCACTTCTAAGTCTATTTTTGAAAGGTCAGGTTTAATTTTGCATTTCTATACTAGTCTGCAAGTATTTAAAATAATACAAATACGATGAAATTTCAGAGATGCAATCAATTTAATGAAAGCTCAACCGAGAACTTCAAGCTTTACAGTAATGGCTTCTATCTGCATTAGACTAGGTACGAGTATTACCGTATTCCGCTCTGCTAAGCAGTTACTTAGCAGAGCGGCAAACGGTTATTACTTCATTCCAATATCAAATGGGTATAAAATATTAGAATGATACCCCTAATAAAATATTCCTTGTCTTATAGATGAAAAACAAAATACTAAGTACTTTAAAAAAAAAAGAAATATCTTCATACTGTCAAAGTATATGCTCAAAATATAAATTGTTAGTAATGTACAGGTTGAGATGATGTGATTACAAAAATGAGAAAAGGTCTGCAAGATTGTTCGCGCATTCCTGTAACTCTGAGGTTAAGAGAAGGAACAACTTGAGGTTTTTAGCAGGTAGGAAAGCGGCAGTACCTGTCTACCTACCCTAGGGCGGGCGGTTCCCAATGAGCATTTTCGTCAATTTTATAAAAAGAATGTTGAGGCGATGTATTTTAACAAAATGCGTGTGGATATGGCTGATATGCCCAAGATTCCTTCTTAACTCACCATGGCTGATATTGTTGATTACAATATCAGCCTGACATCATATCACCAATTGAGTAAATTTTAAAAATTCCTTTCCTAAGAGAGTTTAACAATGTCACACCCAATAGAGTCGCATTTAAAATAGAGGAAAAACTGTGACAAGAGATTGGAACAGTTCCTAAACAAGATACGTATCTACGTATCGGTGGAGGCAACCAACCGATAAATTACGCCAGACTTAAACTAAATTCAGGCAGTGACATGCAATCTTAATTGCCACGGCGGTATTCCAATTTACAACTATTCGAGTCGGGCTGGTTTATAGGGTAATCAGTTTTAAGCCCAATAACTATTCTCAAACAGTTCAATTTTGTCTAGGTAAATTAACTTTCAGGATAGGGTATGGAGATTGTTATATTCCTGAGCGGGGTTTAATACTTCTGTCAGACTTTGTACAGCTTTATTATTGTGGACAATAATAAATTATTTTTGAAAATTCTATATTATGTAATTTAAAGTGCCGTTGTAAAAAAAATAGGTTATATTTTCTTACTGTAGGTATGTACGAAACACTCACTGTGGGCTGCAGCTAAATCTTGTTCTTTTATTATGAGTTATGTGTAGTGCGTTATAGATTGACAATTTCTTTGTTTCTTTCCCTTTAAAATATAAAATTAGTTCCTAAAAAAGTCTAGGTGGCAGCAATGGGTCAGACAAAATTACCACGTAGAGTTTATGTACTAAATCACCTTTGAAATTACAAGATACGAGTGCATTTTAGTCCTTCATAATGGCATAACGTAAGGTACTAACATTATTATAATGACGCTCTTCGTGTATGCAGGCGACTGTTGCCACTTATGCCATTCACGTCTCAATCTTCACTTTCTCAGGAGTACACTATATATCGTTCACACATTTATGTGGTTGTAGCCCACTCATACTTAAACAATATAGGAAAGTATACACTATCCTGAAAAAATAAAAACCATCGCTCCCAAAAATATCCTTCAATTCTTGTCCCTGACGGGTCTAGGTAACTTTTAAAAAACGAGCACAATAGATCTATGCAGGTCGCAGTGCTACAGGTTCAAGCACCTGACAAAACCCTCAATAAAGAAATACCATCAGTTCACTTACCACCGTCTTGTTTGCCATTTTACATAATAGAAACTTGGTCATATTATAGTCACAAAGAAATAAGTACTTATACAAATAATGATAAAATACAATTTCATTTAACCGAACTTCATCACATTATCCGCTATTTCATCATCACTGTATTCGCATAATTATACCGACAATTTAATTCTGTGTCATGCTAATAGGTTTCGGTTCGCGCCAGAAGGCAATTTCACAAGACATGTCAGTTTCGATGATATCTTTGGTATTTAAACTGTATGTGTGGACCATGAGGCACAGGATAGTTTCTGTAATGCTGTAGTTTACAATTTTATTAAATATATAATATAGAAGTACTGTAAAGGTAACTTTAAAAATGCACTCAATTGTATTGTTAGATCACAATTATTAAACTTTTTATTTTTGGTACTTTAAAGTTATATGGAACAAGCTGAAAAATACCTAGACATATATATATATATGTATCTACCTATTGAACTCCCTGTTTAGTGACTGAGAATCAGCAATAACAAATAAATAAAAGAATATGTGTGTCAAATACTTAGTAGAGTGTGTAATGTTTTTATTGGATTATTTTTTTGTGCATAATTAGCATACTGCTAATATTTTTTTTAATTATACGATCCTTCTCTATATAACTTATAGTTGTGGGAAATGTCGTACCTCTCCGTCCGCAATTTTCGTCAAAAGGGTCACAAAGTGTTTGCTTCCGGTATTAATATAAGGATTAGATCTTTTTTATAACTAAGATAATTATATCCATCTAAATAAATTTATAAATAATCACAATATATACAAGAAATAGGTACATCAAAAACATAGGTAGAGTAAGTCACCGGTTGCAGCTACAAATAATTATAAAATAAGTAAAGTTCCTAAAATCTAACCAATACAATCAATTACTAAGTCCTTACCCGACCTACGGTCTGAAACTACAACTAAATTATAAATGAACAAATACATTACCGACTCTAATCCTAATGGACTCCACGAGGTCAGATTAATACTAAATCAGCAACTGACTCTACAATAATTATTTAGATTTAATATTTAACATAGGAGGGAGAGAGAAGGGATACTGTTAGCAATGTTATGACAATTTATCTACCTATCTAATGGTAGGTAAAGCACCTTGATGTAATATTACGATAAGGGGGAATAGGACTGTTAGTAATGGGGAATAATAACCCCATTGCTAGCAATGTACCATGTCATGTTGATCTCTACGCGGTTCCCCCTAGAAACCATCTCGGTACATTGCCATTTGCCAAAATGGGCTAACTAACCTGACTCCATGCTCATTTAATCATTCGTTAGCGCGGGCGAGTTCATCATTTCATTCATCCATAAAAAATATATTGCGGTAATAAAAAACTACGAGTAGGTATAGCACAAGTACCATAAATAAAACCTGTCGAAACGAACTTAAAAAATCAGTTGAGTATTATTTAATATATCACTTAAAATACATAAAAAAACGTAAACATATGTATTGTATATCATAGTTAAAAAAGAGATCATCGCAGCCTTACTTGGGGTTTACTGTTCGACTTCGACCACAAGGGTCACGAGTTCAAGTCTGGTCGACACCAAAAAAACTTTGTATGTTAATTTATATTCCTAAATAAACTCTGCTGTTATAGAAACATCGATAATAAACAAAGTTAATCAATCAGAGAGCCAGCGATATACTCCTCATCTGCCACGTTGGATTCTATACGCCAACAATTGAGAAACACCTTTGATTACCTTCTTTAGAATAATAATCTTGAAGATATATAAAATGTAGGTATAATACAAGAATGAATTCTCAGAAATTTTGAAGGTAAAATATATTTTACCTTCAAAATTTCCGAGAATTTGCCAATTGCAAATAATAATAATAAAATCCAAGAATAATATGTATTTAATTGAATAATCTATAAAAAATACGTCACTTTTTTATACCTTTAACATCGAAAACGTCAAACAAAAATGAACTGTAAAGACCTAGTATACATTCATTCAATTTAATTCTTATCAATATATGTATTAAGTTAATTCCCCGCTTCGCATTGATAACCTCTGACCGCAGAAACAGCGATTGCCTCTGTACTAACAATAAACCACAGGGGAATTACTCAGTCCTTTTATACAGTAAGATCCCTAGAAGGTCTGGAGTAGCTATTATGAGGAATGAAGATGATATCGGTTTGTATAAAAAGGAAGCTACAAATCTGAAATGTATCAGTCAACTATTGTTGGAATAACATAGAACTTGGTAAGTAATATTAGCTTTTTATATGTCTTGTAATTTGATACACTGATAGCGGACTTATTATATAAATCGGCTGAATTAGTGTATGGTGGCCTCGGTGATCTAGCGGTTTAGCAAACTTTATTTACGATGGTCGCGAGTTCGGTTCCTCGCATAGTATAAACATTTGTATTCATGAACATGATTGTTTGTAATATATATTTATTTACAAGCGTAAGTTAAACCATAATTTTTATTTGTATTACAGAAAAAATGCAGTCGCTGTACATTTTTGCTGGAATTTTGGCGGTAGTTGCAACACAGGAGTACATAGAAATCGACAGGTATGTTTACGCATTGTTGTTTAAAATGAAAAAAAATCTTAATACATAATGATATTTTTTAAATAGATATATAATGTGGTCCATCCTCCTGTGCTAATGGATACACTGGAAGTGTGACCAAGTCAGGTCAGTTAACCCATCTTGTTGAATTTACCACAATGGTTTCCAATAATACCTACTTTCTGTCTACCTCGGTAATGTACCACTGGACTACGACTCACATCGACCTATTCTATATATTTATCTATAGGTATATAATTAAAATATCAAATAATATGACGACCCACCTGATTGTAGTAATCCTTGACTACATACAAGAACTACGTTGACATCACGTTATCATGTAACATTAGTGATAACACTCAGGCAATACTATTGGACTGTGATGTCATGCCTTTTATCCTATAACTACACTGCCTAATTTACTCCCTACAACCAAAACACAGCTTACAATGCAAGGTGCTTAGCGGCTGAAGTGGGTGAAACTCAGGGTAGGATTTTTAGTTTAAGTAATGGTCTCTTTCGATGGTCGCGGGTTCAATTCCTAGCACGTTGCAAACATTTGTATTAATGAGTATCATTGTTTGTATCGGTCTGGGTGTTTCCTATGTATAATATGTATGTATTTACAGAAAACTCACTAGTCTAGTATCGATAACACTCTGCTTACCGTGGGACTAGATGGCACTGTGTTAATTGTCCAGGGTAAAAAAAGTAAGTTTGGATTTCATTTTCAGATATCCCGACTGGTACGTTCAACCGCAGGAAGAACATTTAAGACACCGTAGACAACTGTCCGTAGACAAGAGTGGTGATGTGACGTATGCTCACGGCAGTCCTAACAATAAAGTATTTGGGACACTGGGTTCCAGGGGTGAAAACTTATTTGTGAGTATTTATGTAGATTGTTTAATATCTTGTTACTTACATAGACTTATTTTACTTTCTCTAAACACCCAAAGGCAGGCTAGAAAATTGCTTAGCAATAAAACCATCTTTTAGTGTCTAGTTAATGTATATTTGCTATTTTAATTATTTTCTGTATTTTATGCAATAATGTTGTATAAATGAATAAATAGACAGTTTCATACCTATGTGATAAGATAGAGGTAAAGGATAAGGTACTTGCGGTCACTACATATAAAACAGATTTTTTTGTATGTAAATAGGATATTATACAATACTTAATATTATATCATATATAAATTTATCAAGATTCATTGATAAATTTTGAAGGTTCCATTTGTAATGATTACGACATAAGATTGAAATAGCTATTTTAATTACGCCATGCCAAATAGTCATTATTTTTTTTTATTTTTAAAATATTTTTTACCGTGTAAATTACTTTTTTTGTGAAATAGAAACAGTAATTTGATTTAATTTGTGTATCAGGGCAAGCTCGGATATCAGCACAACTTCATCAATGATGATCGTGGTAAACTAACGGGCACGGCGTATGGTACTCGAGTATTAAGTCCTTATGGGAACAGTAATCACCTCGGAGGTCGGGTCGACTGGGCTGGCAGACACACGGCCGCTTCCCTGGACGTAAGCAAGCAGCTTCATGGTCCTACGTCGGTGAGTCTTGCATAATTTTTAACTCCCAACACGAAAGAGGGTCTTATGAGTTTGACGTATCTGCGACATCGTGTTAAATGAATAGTCCTAATAACGAGACCGGACTTGTGTTACGCCGTATACAAAGCGCTAGACTAGGCTAACTCCGGCAATTGCGCTCGTAGATACATCGTATGGCTTTTTAGTAAGTTTCCCACACAAACCCTCGTCACCAGTCCGGCGTACGACGGTCTTTTAAAGATTTTTCCAGACGAAAAAAAATCTACTAAAAGATAGCACCGATTATAATGTGGTTTCGTTATTTAAACACTAACGGAATCGAGATTTTTCTTGGATACAATATATTAGGTTATTTTATTCGGAAACTACTTAATACTCTTATAATTTATCTTAGATATCAATCACACGGAACATCTAAAAGAAATATCTAAATATTTACTTTTTTTGCGAACATCATTGTGTCCCAATTTGGACTGAAGTCATGAGTTCAAATCTGGCTGTCATCAAGAAACTTTGTTATTTTTATTTATTAATTCCTTTGGATTCTGAATAATGCTTCGAATCTTGAATACTAAATAAAAGAACAATCACCGAGGAACAAGGTAGGCTCTCCAGCTCCTATTCAAATAGAGACCGATGCAAATGTGGGTGCATAATGTGAGAATGCATCTGACTACCCTAGTTGCGATAACAGTTGTGAAGTTATATAGTTGCTTAAAACTCATCAATCCACCTTGTAAGTTAGAATAAGATCAGGGTTAGGAGAAGTTAATTAAAAAATCTATTATTTTTACAGATTCAAGCGGCCGGCGGTGCTAAATGGCCGATTGGTAGGAACGGCGAGATGTCCCTTCAAGGTACTTACAACCGTTTTGGTGGTATGCAGGACTATGGCGGCAGACTAGGTTATATTCACCGTTTTTGAATGACTATAAGGTTAAAAATTCACAAAGCGCCATCTAGTCACAAACTAACGATAGTTTGTATTTTATGAATTATGCTTTTAATTTTGTATTATATAAATATATATTTAAGACACGAATTTAATGTCATCCATAAGTCACACGAATGTCATGTTTTTTTTGTAAATGTGACCAAATTTATGTACCCTCGTCACACTTTGTCAAACAATTAACTGCCTCCTCACGTACGACATCATTTATGGATGGCCTCATATAGCAAGCCGAAAGCCAGTGATAGTATTTCTACTGAAGATAAATAATTTTTGAGTAAATTAGGTTATTGCCTCTTTTGACGTTCAGTTCAGACTAAGTTGCATTAACCGTGATCACGAGCTGACTGAACATGACTACAGCAATCTCAATGTTGTTAAGTGTCAACAATTTTCAATTTTTAAACAAGCATACGCCCCATCTGATGGTAAACACCGCACCCTATGGACGCCCGAAACACTAGAGGTGTCACGTGTGCGTTGCTGACCCTTAAAAATCTTAATATATCATTGTTGAAAACCGCATGCTGTAGTCTCTCGAAAAAACCTCGGCAGGATCATTCCACAATCTAAATATACGCGAGAGGAAGCTCCTCGCGGGAGGAAGAATAATAATTTACCACAAAATTACTCGTCTTCAGTCCAGATTAACTATATTAATGTATACTAAATGCAAAAGTTTATTAGAAATTTTATATTTTGATCCATATATTTCACGCATATACAGTAAATTACAATAAATTATTCGAATAAATAAATGCTATGAATTTTATTTCAATCTTTATTTCCATCGTAGTAAACCTTAACACTAAATATATACAAAAATACTAAACTACAAGGTACGTCATATGTGTAAAACAATATTTAGTCTTTGTATAAAACGCCATAACTATAATAAGGGAAATAAACCCTAAATGCAATTTCTAGTCAAACTTTTATATAAGAAACCAAATTAAACTCCTATGCCATAGACATAAATTGAAATAGACTGCTGTATTTTGTGTGCAATTTCTGCCTAAATAAGCAAAAACATATTTAATTGCACTACGATTAAATATCGACTCAGACTTCTTATATTAAATCAATGTTAAAACTTTTTAAAGGCACAACTCTTTACAATTATATAATATGTTGTTTAATAAAAAACCAACTACCAAACAAAAAACTAATCGTGATAAAATTAATACAAGATCTTTTCCATGATATAAAACTTTCGATCGATTACAAAAATAATGAAATCTGTTCTGTATTTGATAGTAGTTAGATTGAAAACAAAATTTTAAAAAGTTGTAAATTTGGTTTTAATAGAAAAAAATAAAAAGCATAATGTTCGTTATGGATTCAGGTTCTTTCCAAGTCTATATCAATCTATATCTATATGTTACGCAATAAAATTAGGATCAAATCAAAATGACATCATATGATGGTATTTGTCACAGTATATATCGGTTTTATATCTACATATTTTTCTCCTTATTAAAAACTACTACAAGCAATCTTCTTTCAAATTAACCAAAAAAGTTTGATATAAAGGGATAAAACAATACAATTACTAGTTACAATTATCAGAAGTGTAACATTCTTATAAAAAGGAGAGATTTCGTCTCAATGTGACATTTCATAAATATTAAACATTATTTTGATTTGGTACTAATAGAATAGCGCTAAATGTTAGCTTAGTGGTCTATTAGAAATGTTGTTGTCAAAACAATCACTGAACTGTAAGGGCATTTCCGAGTATATCTTATTTAATCATGTCGAATATTCGCAAATAAATAAATATTTCAGGATGATAATTATGCTTTATTGACGGCTGATGGTAGATTTAGATCAAACAATGTTTATTGTAAACCTTCTTAGAGATTATAAAAATCACTGTAATGTACTGTTTGCAAACTAGGCTTGATTTACTTTAAACTAATTGTTTATTTATGTGACTGATGATGACTGACAGTCCACATGATTGTAAGTGCTAAAATTTATCTCTTTATATTCGACATGATTACTCAAAATACAGGAAACATACACACACACTGCACACAAAAATTCTAAATCATAATTCACAAGTAAACTAAATAAAAAATACAGAATAGACAATAGAAAGCAAAACAAAATAAAGCTATTTAAAGTTAACATAATATAATCCTATATAAATATTTCTTCACTTACCTAAACGAAAATTATCTACAAATTATAAGCGTTAGTGTACTTAATGTAATAAAAATTTATTTTTAAATGTATCAAACTTGTATTTTGACAAAAACAATATATTGATAGTTTAAACCGAAATGCTGTCGCTTCCAGGAACTTTATGAAAGAAAATTAAATTATGAGAAATAATAAAAAGAGAATGGGTTAGAATTTTAAGCTGTTTGGTTACTTTATCTTTAGACTTCTGATATAAGGAATAAATAAAAAGTAAAATTTCCGTAATAATTTTCTTATAACAATAATTAATATAATTATTGTTATATACTGTATATACAGGTTGTAATAATGAGTCGGTTTTGGGAGGAAGTATCAAAAACAGAAAAGTTACTCAAAATAATCCGTCATACTTTTAAATAGGTGTAGGGAAAGTACTATATTGTTTTAGCATTTTCAATTAGTTTTCATTAGTAACTTATTAAATAAATCTTAGTTCTTAAATTTAGAATAAAAAAAATTTTATAATTTACCTTACTGAACGGAAGGAAACTGCCTTGCGGTACATATAATCGACTTACCAATTCTCAATCTTCCTTAATATGAGAGATATCTTACTTTATATTAACACCAATATTTGTATTAATTTAATATAACGTATTACCTTTTCTAATTTACCATTCAGTTCTATCCAGGGCAGATAAACAATATCTGGTACTACCATTTCCAAAATGAAGACTTTCCTTTCACAAAAATTAGCTATCAATATTTAATGTACACTTTCACGGTATATCTACATGATGATTGATTGTTGAAGACAATTAGACCCTTATATTTTAACATATCAAATAATTTTAGTATTTCTAACACAAAAATAGACAACGGCTTCTAATTACACCTATAATATTACTCTAAATTTTGATATCTAATTTCATATTAGTTAATTTAGATACTAATTCGCCGAATGTCACATTTTTGTTAAAATACCCGAATTTATTGGAAATCTATATCTAAATTTGTACTATCACTTTTTTATATGAGTTAACTAGGTGTTACCCGCACCTGTGCTTGCGTACATTTTTTGATAATCTGTATATAACACGGGCATATTATAAATAATATATAAATTAATTGGCCGACCTTCTCAATGCGAAATGTTACATGTATTAAGACTTTCCAAGCTGATTAGATAATAATTACAACACAATTCACATGCACATAAGTGGTAGAAAGAATGTTGTAGGCAGTGTTAAAATGTATTGGAATAAAATGGATCATATTACGACAATTACCCAACAATTTCAAACATATTGCCTTCACATTGGATCAATGGATCATATAGCGACAATAAGACAATAATTACAAACATACAGCCTTTACATAATTTAGTTCTGTTATATTTGATCATTTATTAAGTGATATTCTATCCCGACCAATGGTGTCATATTTATACAGAGATAATCCTATAAGATATATATGGGACATAATTCTTTATTTAATCAGATTAAACGCAGTTAAAGCTGCAATTATTACTGCAACTGCAACTGTCACATGATATGTATATATATATAATCTCGAAACAATAAATTTCAATCTATTTAAATTTAGAAATATTTGCAAATGTTTGTTTTAAAATAAGTTGCATATTTAATGAACAATCTTAGCATGTTTTTATAAAATATCCATAATAAAAAAAAACCAAACAGGTTTTGCCATTATTTATATATTACTGTATATTCTTATTTATTAATTTACACATACAATTAGATACAAAAAGATTTTATTGTTCCGACACGTTTATCATTTTATATCTTATTTTGTTATGTCAAATTCGAAGAAAATATATGCTAAGATTGTTTATAAAAAACACATGAAAAGCAGTATATACAAATTTATTTACATAATACTGCATGCATTTGATATTATTTATTATTAAGATTCAAAGTATTGCAAAACACATGAAATGTTTTCAATCCCTTTGACTTACATACCTACACAAAATAATGTTTTTGACAATTTAATGTTAATAAATTTAGAAATTGTAATAAAAAATTATACCACTTTTATAACTAAGAATTCAGAAAATAATGGCTCTACTGCCCATAAATAATTTAAACTCATGATTACGATAAAATACGGCATTATATAAAATATTTTAATTGTAAAACAATTTATACACCAATATTCGTGTGTTTTGTTTTACAATTTTTTGTGGTAAAAAAATTCTATATAACAAAAATATATATAATAAACCTGAAAAACCTGCGACAACACAAAAAAATCTATAAAAATTCAAACCCGGTTCAAAGAATAAAAACATACATAATTTACTATCAATACGCAAATATATCAAATTATCAATGCTTCTAGAAATTCACTAAAATCTGTATTCACACAAACAATATACACTCAGACACAACATAATTACTTTTACTATAATAATTAACAGAACAAAAAAACTACTTTAAAAGTGTGTGTAAAAAAAATTAATACATCCTGATCTCTCTCATATTGTATCAAAATTTAAAAACACTAAAATTCCTTTGTTTCATTTGACTGTCCAATAAATAAAAAAAAATCCAGTGGTTATAAGTTATACTCAATCATTAAATATTCATAACGAAATAATATAGTTTTGTATATTGACAGGTAACACAGACACTTATACTTTTACCATGAGTTTGATACTCATGGTAAAAGTATAAATGCCAATATCTAAATTTATCTCTAAAACATAAGGTTCAATTATATTTACATTTACATTCTTATAATTACAATCATTTTTGCATCAAGCATTGTGTAATTTTAAGAACCATAATGCAATAACTTTGTAGTTTAAACTATTAATCCAGAAGCTAATTCAGAATTTACCATGCTAATCGTGATAGAATCATGCAAGTTATAGTTATTTCAAACGGAAATAAATGATGCCGGCTCGCACGTTGAGTTTATAAACAATAATATTCATTGCGTTATTTAAAATACTATAAAATAAATATTATTTATGTACACAAATATAGCAATGCTTATTACTAAACTGCAGTTAAAGAAAAATTACATATTTAGGAAAATCGACTTTTATTGCTTTGATTTTAAAGTATAATTTCCCAAATTTGTAATTATTTAGTTGTTATATTAGCTAATTGACAATTCTGTACACTTATATTTCTCATTTGAAACAAATTGAAATCTAAAATTTTCCGATGATCCATTTAATAGTTGCAATTACATACCACATATCTTGAATTTGCGACTATAAAATATTTAAAATGTAATTTCATATGAAATATTGATTTTAATTTATTACAATTTTAATAATTATTAGATGGCCTTACATAATAAGGCAGGTGACTCGGGGCTTATGTAATGTTGTTAGTAACAAGTCTCAAATTGTAACAGATTGTGCGATTTTCTATGAGTCTTATAAAAGTTGTAAAAGCAGTACGGTTTGCAATTACAACTGTGAAATGGTCTGTATATAGTTACAGACTTGTAGATTTTTATCTGTTTCATATGACAATTGTTAATAACATTTTTACATAATTAAGTCAACGGTAAGTATAATTTAGAAGTTAAGGGACCGGGGCTTCAATGCTGTCTTCCTTAAATACTGATGTGCTAATTTAGTCAGCTCCAGTTGGTCTTGGGTCTTGCCACATGCGAAGGTCTCCCATTTATCATCGTCCTATAAGATATATTTTAATAAGTTTTATATTTTAATATATTTATAGCAAGATTAGGGACATAAACATTTCGGAATTATAAACACATAAGTTAGGCTCAAAAAAATATGACTATTCAGGAGGGCTGGGAAAACTGCACCCAGTGGAAAGATTTGAGTACGGTTTTAAAAGTTATAAATCAGTTACGCTGTTTTTGAGATTAGCGCTCACAAATGAGCAGACAAACAGATTAAATTTGTAACAATCAATCGTGTTCTATTAGGTTAAGATAGTCTCTCAGACAGTTCTCATTTACCTCCCATGCACAGACAGTAATCAGTTATATTTTTATTCTAATAATTTAATGAATGTGTCAAATTTATGATATAATATTTTATTTATGTTTACTTTGTTAGTAGAGGACAGTTTTGAACTAAGGTGCTATGGTCATGGTTGTTTTTTTTTTTTGTATTAATTTACTAATAAAGGCTATAACAGAATAGCAGGCAATGTAACAGAATGACTCACTGTCCCCTCCGAGTTATAGACTGTTTTGTCTCGATTATTCCTTATAAATTTTATTACAAGCAGCAATTGTAATAGTTTATTATTTGCGTCAAATAAAGATGATGATTATTATTATTACATATTCTGTGACTCCATATTTGTTATTAAAGAAACTGAGATACAAACCGACATAAGTACAGCGATAAAGGAAGTTTTGTCCTCCTGTTCCTTGGGCTCTTGGTCGAACTTGATAGATCTTACGGCGGATTTCTTTACAAGTATCGGCTCACTCGACATACGCCGAATCTAAAATGGATATTATAGGTGCAAATATTGTATTACGATTATATTCTATTCTACCTAAGGCCATATTTTTTTTAAATTTCGATATCTAAATTACAATGGCAAGGCATGAGGCAAGGCAAATGCTTCGACAGCACGCGTAATACGAACATCTGCTTGATTGTAATTCTAACTATATAGAATGGCTAAAATCAATTCAAAGCTTGAAGGTTTTTTATCATGATTATTGTAAATATACCAAAAAACTTAATATATCAGTATTCTACTGTTTTTATGTCACGTCCATGGTGTGTGTGGAATTGGGGAATATTCGGAGTGATATGAACTAGATTTTCATTGTTCAATCAACAGTGTATGTGTCACAGGGTAGACGAGCAATACTGAATGTTAAAGCCTCTATCCTTACATATCACATCATCTATATCTTCAACTGAATAGTCGATGTAGGCAGGCGATCGTAAGGGTCTATATTAACTCCTTCTTGCAGTAAATAATACTTTTCTCAGTATATTGCATAAACACATATTTTGCAAATGTGTTTACTTTCAGCATTTTTTTTCAAGTAAACTACTTTATTGTTTTTAAAAGTTTTAATATTAAAGAGTTTTATGTAAAGTTCACTCTAGTTTTACTTCGGTAAGCCCACTTGATACGGTGTTTATATTATACGAAATATAAATGACATTCCCATCTTTACAAGATACTTTCTGTATCTAATAATCTGAGAAGTTTGTAGTATATATATTTGGAAGTATGAAATAGGATTTAACCGATTGATGATTTATTAGTATCTAGAGTGATATTTATGCATATTCTCGACATAATAGATTTTAGAATCAGTTCAGAAAAGTCAGACAATACTTGTTACATACAAACCGATTCAGTCTTTAAAATATACTACAAATAATACTATGAAAATCAATTCACTCAAACTCAATTACTATTTTCAAAACATATAATCATGCAAAATAGTTAGAGATTTAGGGTAGAGTTTTAAGTACAAGATAACCCAAATTACTGTATTGATATTTTGATTATGTTAAAAACGATTGACAAGTACATAAATGACTCGTGCATAGGTTAATAAGAAATAACAAAAAATAATGTATAAAATACGTTTATTGAAATAAAAAATGACATTGGATATCATTTGGACTTTGTGGATTGGATTACAAACAATATTGACAGTGACATTAGACTACTATAAAAAAATAGCAATAAAAAACACAATTTGTAATACAAAATGTTGCTATAATACAAAGAAAAAAAAACTATCACTACAGAATAAATTAAAACATTTTTAACATAAATAGTAACAAAAAACAATCGATTCAACAAGATAATAATAAATAAGCTTCATAAAATTAAAAATATATATACGTAGATTCAACACTGGTCTGTCAATATTGTGGACTGGAAATTGGTGAGGATCGGATCGAATAATAGGTAGGGAACACCAGGTTTTGGAATAATGTCATTTGCTTATTTCAAATAAAGTATCCTTAAGTATAGCTGCCGTTAATATAAAAAAAATGCTATAAATTTAACAAATAAAACGTGAAATAAATATGATTCATACACAACCAATGTGACAGCATAAAGAAAAATTTAGAGAAATTTTATCGGACATTATAAATTGTTAATATTTTAAACGCAAATTACAAAGCAAAAACTACCATTATTAGACATTTCAAAGAAATGAATACAGGGATAGGATGGGTGACCTAACTTAGGGATTTGTTAGTACCTAACATTGTTTTTCTCTGTTTCGAAATTACGAACCATTCTGCCTAATCTTCTTTTTAAATACTGCAAAGTCCTAAATGCCGTTTTGAGGCGATTTTTTTGTTACTACGCCAAAAATATTTTTAAATCTAACACCTAAGAAATTAATACTTGCAATTCTTAAAAAATCAAAGCTTGTACTTTAATTCTAGTAACTCTAAAACAATTTGGTGCATGGTAAACTTGAGGTATACTTTTTATATTAAAAACTAACTCTAAATTATTTTTAAACCTAACACTTTTACCAATATATTAATTAATTCACAACGATATTCATTTGATGAAATTTTCATCTTTGGTTACTTAAGTTCTAATCTCGTTATACGTTAAAATTAGTTTGGTGCACTTATTTATTAAAAAACATACCATTACAGCGACATGTTATGTATTATACAACGCTATAGTTACTCGAAAACCGATATTTAATACAATAAAACAAAGATATTTTTTATTAGAAATATACAATTAATTTTAAAACAAGCATAAATTCTTATAAAACAATCAATTTATATTTGTCGATGGTCCATGATGATGGACAACAATTGGTTGTCGGTTTATGAGGTGTCATAACAATAGTCCATATATCTCTATATGTACTTCACATTTAAGTAATTTATTCACTTTTAACAGAAAATCTACTTCAGTCTATTTCGTAATTATTTAAATTTGGTTCTGTACCTTGAACAATGCTATTAAAATTTAAATATTCGTTTCTTTTTAACTTTCGAGTTCGTAAACACGATTTAATGTCTGTTGTTACCAATTAATTATATATATATATAAATATATATATCTTGTATATAAATACAGAACATAATTAATATGGTAGTAATTAGTTATATTCATTTTTTTGTATTGGACGTTAATCTGTTTAGCTATGCTGTCAAATTTATTGTAATATTGGATATTTGATCTTGAAAGTCAACGAAAACCAAAAACTAACGTGATTTATAAAGTCAAGAAATAAAAATGGATTTATATATGGGATTACACAATTTATTACATTTTGTTTTATTTTAAACTGTTCACCAATACTTAAAATAACATGAATACTAAGCTTATCGATTCCCTTATGTCCAAACCCAGTATTGCCGTTTCAAAAACTTTGGTAGAAATATTAGATTTTACAAATATTACTAACATTAATATTTTGCAATTACTTTATATTGTATTGGTCTTGCGGCCTTTGAATATAAAACTGCCATATATATAGTTTTTCTATATACATATGATTGAATTATTACCAACCAAGTCATACAAAATATTTTATTATTTTTACTTTCAGTAGACCATTATACAAGTCAGTTTAATGTTTAATACTTTTAAATATTAGTAATTTTATTCAATAAGCGTATCGCTGATAAATGACTATGATACAATGACTTCGTATTACCACAATGATAAATGAGACAATATAATCATTCATAATTACTATTAAAAGCGTAATAATCATTTGAAAAGAAATCCCCAGTCTGATTTGAATCTTTATTCTCCGTTTGCCACCACTGATTCTCTTTATCCGCATATTCATTCGGCCGAACGTTATTTGTTAATATTTTATTAGTTAATATTGCGTCTATACGCGATGTAGAAGGCTTTTGACTCGTCACTTTATATATATGGTCGGCTAACGCGTTAGCTAATACTTCTTTAGGCGCTATCAGATTCGAATCGCAAGAAATATCGTTAGCACTTGTTATAGTTCTCAATCTATCCGCGTTTAGTCTAGCAAAACTTCTAGGCGATTCTACATTCGTTATGTTTTTAAATACACTAGAATTTTGCAGTTCATTGTCGTATACCTCTTGGTAGATTAATTCGTTAGGATAGGTGTTAGGTGAAGGATTAGTACGGAGTAAGGACCTGTGTTGTACCTTTGTTTTTTCGCTGATGACAGCTTCTATGTCAATATCTTCGTATTTGCTCGTATCGGGTGTGTTGTCAGTGCTTATCAGACTGTGAAGACTCGTGGATTCTTCTAAAATAGAATTCTTGACTATCGACGGCGGAGAGAACATTACAGAGCTGTCGCCCGCTAAAGTTTTGCTCTGTAACAAGAGAAATAACTTTGTAAATATATTTACGCCATGTATCCGAAATTTGATTATTCTTTATTGCACAATAAAAAGTGTACAGAAGGCGAGCTTAACGCCATATGGTATTCTCTACCAGCTAACTTTTAGGTAAAAATAGAAAATATTGTAGGGCCAGTGTGGAAGTGACATTAATACTATATTATATAAATAAATATATAATACAAACACATAAATTACACAGAATAAATAAATATTGTAACGTTTAATTAAATTTCATTCAGTAGTTTTTGCGTGAAAGAATAACAAACCATCCCATTCATACTCACAAACTTCCGCGAATATAATTTATTTATTAATTGTATGTAATCAATAATTATAGACAAAATATTTTAACAGCAATCCCTGCACTAAACTCAAGGCTTGTGTCACAGGAATCAGTAATGATTAAATAAGAAACTTTAACTTAAAACAGGCTATTTCAATTAATATTGATTAATTTTGTACCTAGTTGAACTGGAACCTGTTTTAAGTTGAAGTAGGAAGTAATTTACAAAGAATAATATTAATAAGATTTAATATACTGACCGGTGTCTCATTAATGAAGGAGACATCAGGCACGAGTGCGTGTACGTGTGAGTGCGGCGTGCTAGTAGCGGCGGTCCCCCACGCGGGCGCTAGTGCTTTGCGAGCTCGCTTGTGTCCTCCGCCGGTACCAGAACCTGGTACGTTCTCTTTGCCCGCCTGAGAACCTTCAGAACACCGTCGCTTGCCGCTGCCTATACCGGAATCGTTTACCTGTTGATACATAAACGACATTGTTATTTTCTATCACATTGAATAAAATTAAACTTTAATCGTACACAACACTACCCAGTGTTGTCTTTAACATTGAATAAGTTCAAATAGAGGTAAACTGTAAAAAGTCATCTACATGGATAAGTATTTTAGCTGCCATCTAATTGCTTTGTAAGGTGTATTTTGATTGTGTGATTGCAATGACATTACAAAGAGGCATCTATCAGGTGAATACCTGTCTGATAGATACATAAACAACATTATCCACTATTTTCTACATTGTAGAAAGTTCACTAGAAGTATACTATAAGAAATCATATGCGTATTTCAGCCCCCATTAACTTGCTTTGTAACATACAAACCAAGATGATGGGGGGGTGTTTCGGTTGTGGGACTGTAGACAGTGAAAGTAAATTACAGGATAAGATGCATGATGCATCTTACTCCTCTGGAATGGGAACGCATGAGTCATATTTCATCACGGTTGTCAAATAATAATGATAAGTGAAACTGCTTTGTTTTGTCCACACCTTAAATTTAAACTGACAATAGCGGCATGTATATTAATAATATTTATGGGCCCATATGTTTGTATCAACCTGAAGAGGTTGATACAAACATATGGATAATATTATCAATTTATTAGCGAAGGCTAATAAATTGATAATATTATCCAGTCTCAAGTAAATATTTGTTTATTACATTTATGGTGCTGTTCATATTTATAGTATACCATCATTTATTTAAATTGCATAAAAGATAATTTATAATAATTCTCTCATTCTCATTTAATCTAAATCAATCTTAAACTTATGTTTACTTCAATTTAACATAATCTTAAACAATTAAATACTATTTACCTGAACATTACCAGCATCTTGATCAGCAGTGGATGATAACAGTGAATCGCTCAAATGCACAGTGCTATCAGAATTCTCTTCCCTCTTGATCATCTCAGTGATATCTTCCACTAAGCGGCCAGGGCTTGATGGTTCATACTTCAAACCAGATTTCTTGCCAATTTCTGCCATTGCCAATTTGAACGGAGTTGGCGTCCTATAATAATAATAATTAAAATTTAAAATTTATTGAAGAGAAACATACATAATAATTATTATATATTAATAATAATATTGTAGATATTTGTGGTATATACACTGCTTCACTTGATGATAGTTTGCATCTATGAGTATGTCTGTTTATATTGGTATTATTCCAAAATCAGAACTGACTACAAATTCAACTCGTATTCTTTTCAAATATTGTTTACAATAATACACATTAATATTATTATTTACACATAGTGTATAATAAACTTACTTGGGAGTGTTATTCCTCAGATGCGAGTTAACAGGCGTTAAATTGGCAGGAGTTGGTGTATGTAAAAGCGGACTAGTCATCTGACTCCATTCCTGAAAATTATGAACACATTTTTATTTATAATTTCCTTATGTAGATACTTATTTCATGGTCATCAAAGTAGAATATAAGAGACACTTTATGATCAAAGACAACTGTCGAATGTTTCTATACTAAGTCTAGTTAAGAACCTTCCATCAATGGGCGCTTTTATAATTTAATGCGTGACATTATATATGGGTTTGAATTAAACAACGGTCGGAATTTGATCACAAGTAGCGAAGGTCGGAACGGTACTGGAAGCGGTGGTCAGGTTTCTACACTGAATATTTGTAGTCTCACACAAACAATGAATCTACATTATTCTGTTTAATTTCGTGACCCACATGGTAGAAGAATTAAACAAAATAATGAATAAGGAAACGAATTTCCGCAAAATAACACCTAATTCGATAAAATATGTTCTTGTTAAATGTTATTTTCTCAGACCTCTTTAAAAAACATTATGTACCACTATTGATATCGTTTAAAATAATGTTAAAAATAGATTAATTACCTTAGCATGTCTTAAAGGTGTAGAATCAAACTCTTGGAACGTGAGCGGCGCCGGTGAGTTGAGGAATTGAGACGGACTAAATGGAAGAGCCTTTATCGGTGTAATGCCACTGTCTCTAGATTCCAACCTATTTAACGTGTCTTGCCATGACTGAAATTAAAATATTTATGTATTAAAACAAAGTTTAAAGGATCCTGAGAAGATAAAAACCATCACTTCTAAGAATATCTTTCAAATCTAGGTAGCGAATTTAGAAAAAAGAAGGGCACAATAGATTTATGCAGGTCGAAGTACTACAGGTTTTAACAACTTAGAATAACCCAAAAACCTCAATAAAAAAAATACAAATTTTCTATAAACAAGTAAATAATAAAAGATCGATACAATACATTAACTCACATTAGGGTTGGGCGTGCTTTGTGTTTTCTTTGCTTTCCGTCGTAGTATAGGTGGAGGGCTGTTCGTTTCCAACGTCTTCTTCTTAGGCGATGTGTATACCGAGGGAACAAGTATCTCTTTACTCGTTTCCGGTTGTACTGCATATGTTACTGAAATAGTACCAGAAATTATATTAAATTAATATACTGATGTATTGTTAAAATATGTTTCGATGGTCTTCCGGTTCAACACACCGCTTTACTTCCAATGGTCGCGGGTTCGATTTCTCTCATGTTCCAACAATTTGTATTCATGATTATGATTGTTTGTATCGGTTTTCTGTGTAGGTATTGCGTAAGTATTTACAAGAAAAAATGTATTTCATATATCTATCAGTTGTCTAGTACCTATAACACAAGCGTTGATGCGCTTGGGACTAAATGTGAATTGTCCTGGATTATTGTTATATTCAAGTAAAAATTGTGTAATAGAGAAAACTTAAATTTTTTCTACACTATACTGGGGTCCCGTGTATTGAGATGCCGCTCAATTATGTTAAATAATTCAATATATACTTTTGTACTTCGGAATTAAATTACAAGGTACGGAATAGTATCACTGAAGTCACAAATTTATTCTGTAGTGATGTTCATCTATACAGGCAAAATTAATTCCATTTACATAAAATAATAAAAAAAATTACCAGCGTCTTGGTTGGCGGTAACGTTATCCGACGTCTGTGCGAAGTAGTGCTTCAGAGGTGAATTTGATGGCAACGATTCTATATTCACGAATCTGTAATATGAAATATAATTATAAATATAACCTATCATCGACAGAGAGAACCGAGGGACAAAAGATGAGTATTAAAATGGGTGATTTATGAATCTGAATTTTGTATAGAATTACTTGATTAGGTATGCATGGATCTTCATCATAGCATTGAAGATGCATCCATACTAGGCCTTGATCTGGTCTAGTGACTTACTACCCCCACTTGGTCCAGATGAAACAGATATGTTGATTAAATTTTTAAGGAAAGTAAGGCTTCTGTAAAAATGGCTAAGACTTGCTCTCTATCACGTTATATTCAAATATACACACTTTGTAAAACTTTGTGACTTTGTAAAAGTCAACGGTATTTCAATGTCACCTATTTCAATAATCAAGCAGCGTGCTTTGTAAGATATATTATGGCTAAATGCTAAAATAAGACAGTGAAAGAGGCATAACATATTAGTCCTCCAGAATGGGAACATATTAGTGGTATCACAGTAATCACATCATAACGTGAGCATGTAGACTATTGCATTCACCTCAAGTCTACAGTTGATAATCTCTCTACACTGTCTAATAAAGCAATCATAAAGGTTACTTACTTAAAAGGCGATTCAACAATCTCCATATCTGCAGGCACTAGTTCCCTCTCCGGTGTTTTAGGTTTCTGCTGTTGCAAATTGTTAAGTTGGTCCTTCAATAACTGTCTAAAGTGTAACATCTGTTTGGACGGCTGACTGGTTGTGGACGAGTTGCTCTGTGTCGATTCATTGAGGGGATCCGGCCATTGCTGCTAAAGAAGAGGTTGAACACATTGTAGTACAACAATATAATAAAACAAATGACTAATATATTTATAAACATCAGTAAAAAATAAATAATATTTTTGTCAAAACACTTGGAAAATAATAATTGTTTTGATTGTATATTTTGTATGCTAATAATATATTTCTGTTATAATATTTACCAAATATTCTATGGTAAAATTAGTTCCATTTCTGTCATTTGTTATATAACTATTCCGATTTTATACGAAATTTGTGGTGTATATTTGGTAATCTGAGAATAGCTTGTAGGCTATTTTTATACACCTTGGTGATAAAGGTGGCCCTAAATTTATAAGGAAAACCAATGTTTGCTGCGTCAGCTGTTTCCAACAAAAATGCTTCGAGACTTTGGTATGTGAGTGTTAACAACTTAATATTATAAAATGTAATCATATTACTAAGTGATATATATATAGTTGTAAAGTTACTAACAAGTAATAAATTTTTCGAATAGTTAGTGAAAGTCGAAGTAATGACAAAATGAAAAAAAAATTAATACAGACACCAAAAGAATACTATTAACATTATTTAAAACATTAGTTGTTATATAGTTTATAAAAGAGAATAAGATGTGGAACAATGAAAGCAACTAAATGCACAAGCCCTTGGTACCCACAAAGATGTTGTTTATGGAATGGAAGTTATGTTACAAAATGAATGAGAAATAAACACAAAATGTGGCATTGATATCAGTTGAATATTATCATGGCACGAAAATATATTGCCAAAAATGCATTTTCATGATAACAAAATTGGTAAGTAACTGCATAACAAATTTTGAACTGTTCATACTAAATTGATCACGTGACCTGAAACGTTTTCTAAATCCCTTTCAAATTCCCTTTGCTTATTTATTAAGGTGGTTCAGCTTAGAAGTCTTTAATCCTGTATACATTGTATTAAGGAGCAAATACCAGAGGTGGATAACCTGCAGGACTTCAGGGTTAGTAGAGGGTCCAGTATATATGATGCAGTTCCAGTATCTACTTAAAAGTCAATATAAAAACAACTGATATCAATATCCAGACAATTAATGAAATGAAAAAGACAAATGAATGACAAGTAAAATATTATATGATATTTTGATAGGACATTACTTTATCTACTCCTTTTTAACTTTGGACTCTTACAGTTCCACAGCCTTTATACTTATAGAGGTGTTGGCACTGTAAGGGTTGATGAATAAGTAATAGCTTTTTTTATTCTAACATTTGTATATAAACATACAACTTAAGACATATCACATAAGTAACGATATATACCTATATATATCTCAATATATTTAGTCTGTTGTAAATAAATTACTTGTCGAGCATAATATTTTTAAGAAAAATGGATTTTCAACAGAATTATAAATTACTTAAATGTAGTATATTCAAATGAATAATAAAACTAACGCAACTTACAGTATATATAAAAATAATAAAAAAATAAACATCCATTTTTCTGAAACATACATGTTCTGTCACTTTGTCTAATAGTACAATAAAAATCATATTAAACCGTTATTTATTCTAATAAACTTATAACAAATTAAAACACATGAAAATTTAAAATTAATATGTGTTCCAATTATTATTAATAATTTCAAATTGATAGCAAAAATAAGAACCATAGACAAAATGACAATTAGAAAAACAAAAATAAAACATAAAAAGCATAAAGCAAACCACTAACATCGTTATACACCGTTTGCACTTTTGGTTCGGGCGCACTAACACTTTCACTATATACACTAAAACTATCGTATGTGGGTACTCGTGGCTTTACCCTCGGCTGCCTCCGTCGCAAACTCTCGAAACTGTCTAACAGGTCCGGCTCGTATTTCCGTCGCATTGTTGAGTTCCAGTGGTTTTTTATTGCATTATCCGTCCTGAGAAATTAGAAAATATACATCAAACATAATAATAATAACCCTGGAATCCACAGAGCACAATCTTAGAAAACACATGCACACACATATTCTAGATTAAATCATAGTATCTTTTTATCTATACCCACGCATCGCCATTTAACATGTTTAAAATAAAACTTAAAATTGAAAAATGAGATCAAAATAGCTAAATGAATCATTATTAAAATACATTATTCTAAATTTGTATTGTTTGTTACTTTTTTACGACTTAAATAAACCTGATTAAATTTGGCGATATTTGGAATAGGGCATAGCCTACATTTTATATCAGTCAAATATATCTAAAATTATTTCTACTACAGCAGTACGTCAGCATCTCATCATTCCGATGAACCAAGTTTTTAAATGGCGACATCTGTACTCTATCTTATTTATTATTCAACGATCGGATTTCTCACCTGCCAGGCAATAGCTTCGCTATCTTAGCCCACTGGTTACCAAGCTGCTTATGAGCTTGGTATATAACTCGATCTTCGTGTTCTGTCCAAGCTGTTTTCTTTATTGAGGGATTGAGATGATTGTGCCAGCGCTCTCTGAAAATTTAATGGGAAAATGCTTAACATAACATACCTCATTATAGCTTTTATTACTAGGATAGTAGCATATATTATTATGAGGAAGCATGTAAGAAATTGGGTGTTGTTAAAACTGTTTATGTCGCAAAAAAACTGCAGGCCACAAAAAAAGGGCTAAATGAGGGTGACCAATAATTTACCTTTAAAAAATACTTGTGTACATCTATTGTATTTAAAAAATATATTAATACAATTTTATTTTACATAATACATAAATTTTATTTTACATAATACATAAGATTAAACTTTAAATTATTAAAATCAATTATTTACAAAAACAACGTAATTTTTATGATTATTTTGCAGTTTGATAGTCTTGTAACGTGTTTGAAAAATCACTAAGCGATTTTCTTAGCAATGCTTTCGGCTGAATTTGAATTTAGCGTGTAGATTAAAAATAATTTTGTATATAGATTAATCTAGACTATTCCTATTCTATAGGAGTAACTCTACTTTTACTCCTATAGAATAGAAGTAGTCAATCAATTAATCTAATCAATTCTCATTAAATTAGTTTACTTTACCTGCATTGTTTCCCTATCCTGCCCTTGAGATGCCGTGCAATTAGCGTCCATTTTTTTGGTCCGAATTTGGCTACCAACTCTACGACTTTTTCGTCTTCCTGCAATAATAAACATTTTATATAGCAACACATTTTTTTTTTAATTTGTAAAAGCTGAATGCCTTAAAATGGCAATGAACAACGCAACCAGCGGCCCTAAACAATTCGATTTGCTTCGTGTAGATCGTGTTTAATATAACCCAACAAAAAATAATCCATTAGTAAAAATAATCACATGGTCGAACTTGACACCTAAATTTCGCGAAATTTTACAATCACGAAATTTCTTTCCCTTCAGATTTAATTGTATCCAAATTATAAGATATAGATAAGCGCATCATATACGTTCACCATGTAAAACCATTTTAACGATCTGTCTTGGGTTTTCAGTGGACCGAATGCAACAATATTATTTGTTGACGTAGCCTTAAAACTCAGAATTCGTGAAGTGATTAAGAAAATAGACCCCGCCATTTTGAAAGAATCCATATCTGTATCGATGTTCGTGGTGGACAGATATCATTTATTATTTGTCAAATTTGGCTTTTTTTAATACTTACAATAAAAAATTCTTGTGTTTTGAATTACAAAACAAAGTTCTTCTTGAAAACCTCTTTATATAGGCGTCTGGATTAATTTCCTTAGTTAGTATGACAAAAGTTTTTTTAATTAGTAACGTATCCCTTTATAAGTGTGGATACAGATGGATTCTTGTATGTTAGCTTTGGAATATTTAAAAAAAGGGAAGTGTTTCGAAGAATATTAATATAGGAGCCAGTTGTTGCCGCTTATCACAATAACAGGAAGGTCCCCCTTATCACTTTACTAATTTATTGCGTCATAGAAACCAAAGACAGTTCTGACCGAGGAATATTGTGTATACATTTTCATATTCAAAATATTCTTAACGTGACAATGCTATGAAAAATTACTTTATATTATTTTCTTACAGCAGCGTATCAAATCGCTACATCATACTAATACACAGCTCATTAATCTAATCTATACATATAATAAAACTGTAGAATTCGAGATAGTTAATAGATTCGAGAATGCCTGTACATAGAAAAAAACGCCTAAAACTGAATCACGGGGATGTTAGAAGTGAAATAGAACATAACAAGATTTTTTTATTTTTTTTATGTATCTCTATCTGTTTGCGGCATCACCTAGTTATTAATATAGTTAATAAGTCATTACCTCTCTCGACGTTTCATTTTAATTCGGTTATTTTTTTACAGTAATCTATTTTTACATATTAATGTATACATGTAAAAAAAATATCTTAATGATTGACTTATAAATATGTGACTGACGAGCTAATTGTGCGCTGTATAATTAAGTAGGTAAGGCCTAAGGATAGTAGTTAATAGTTCTATTTACCGCATAAGTGGGCTGGCATGAAAATAAATAGAAAACAGATGTCATTTATACAACAACGCTTTGTATATCATTTTTCCGTTACAATTAAGCCTATATTCGAATAGCGTGATCAGGTAGGTATAGAAATATTTAACGAATATTTATAATTGTCCATATTGTAATCTTACAACTACTTATATATGAAGCACGAAATATATTAAAATATAAAATGACGTTAATCACGCAATACAATTTAGTAAAAACTTTATAACAAATGTTACAGATAAAATTGCCAATAACATTTTTTCCGGCTTGTAACAGCATACAAACCTATAGTAAGCCTTGAGGATAAAATAATTACCATGGCATATAGACATAGCATCAAGATCATTCATTAACGTAATAATTCCAAAATATAACATTGAATAAAAATGAAATCGATCGCTGTCTACACAAAAAGAATAATGATAATTGAAACTATCAATGTAATGGAACCCAAAAAAAATTTTTGTATATTGATAATTTTTGTCTGTTTATCTGTGCAATTGTGGGCGCTAAACTCAGAAACGGCTTAACTTTTCAGGAAATTATCTTCACTTAATATTATTTTTTCTCATATTCCAATTGGTTTACAAACAAAAAAGTTATAGGAATACCAAGTCGCAGGGCTTAGTTTGTGTTGAATGAATAATAATATGGACCTGGAATGGACAATTCACACAGCGCCATCTAATCCCAAATTAAGCAGCGCTTTTGTTAGGGATACATACTTATACATAGAAAACACACACAGTAATACAAACAATCATACTTATATATACAAGTGTTAACCTGCGAGGAATCCGACCCGCAACCATTAGAAGTAAACGGATCGATCAAGATAAACGATTCCTATTTCAAACAGAAAGAACTTGAAAGTTTTGGATTATGTACGAACCATTTGAGAGTTTAAGTTGCATACAGTATAATTATTTGATCGACAGGCAATGCCAACAATAAGTATAAAATTGCTTAATTTCATTCCTCAATAAATTATACAAAAATATAAGAACTTATTACGTCATTATATTACTTGGCTCTCAAGTCGAGACCTTGAAGATTCTCGGAACACATCTCGAGATAGATTTCTGCTGTTGCTGTGACATACTCGTATCATTTACATTAAGCTTAGCTTATCATTTTTTTTACCTACGTAAGTAAGTTACATGACACTAGTTGTTTGTCATTGTTCTGTGTGAATAAGTTTACTTTATTGTGATTTTTTCTAATAAGAACATGGTGGCGAATTATATTATATATATTCGGTTAATAATAAAATATAATATTAACAATAGCCATAAAACAACAATTTAATAAAAAAATAAAACCGACAATAAAAATAAAGTACATGTGAAATTCAAATTTAGTTGTAATACGTACCGGGTGCACAGTATTGAACACAAATAAGTAGGGAACAATCATTTATATATTAAAATATAATCTATACCTCTTTTACTGCAAAAAACAAATGACAATAAACTTTTTAAATATATATTTTTTAAACAGCAAATACTTGATATTATATATATATTATATTATTAGTCTATAATAAAATATATATTATATATATATTTTATTATAGACAAGAAATAATTGAAAAGAAATATCAAAGTACAATGTATGTAAAAACGCAAGACCGTATTTTATTCAAATGCGAGTGTTAGGTGCAATAAATTGTGAGATAATTTTGTGCGCAATCGTCGTATATACAGCTGAAGATAACTATTTTTTTTTCTCTTGGACAATTCACACGACGCCTTCTATTTGTAAGCTAAGCAGAGCTTGTATTATTGATAGGTACTACACAACTGGTAGAAATACATATACTTATAAATACATAATATAATTACATGCATGTTTCCTGTTCGTTCCTCTTGTGATGAGTCTGCATTCCGAATAAGTGGTAATAAAAAAATGTGACTATTCATAAGTGCTTATATTAAGTTTATTTAAATCACAAAGATAATAAAATCAAATCAGTTATAAATCTATTTGTTTGCAGTGTGCAAGGAATCGTAGCCGGAACATCGGAAGTAAGGCGGTATGCTAAACTACCGAGGCAGTCAATTGCTATTATTAATACTAATACTCTGCAATCTTAATATTCCAAATCGCCGAGACTACTTAGTATCCATTAATACCTACAATGATATAATGTCAGCTGATCAGACAGTTGTATTTCATATTTTTTGTACCTCCCACGCCACGCGTCCACCGGCTCACCTTGCTGTATAACGAATTTTCGCACGATACAGATGATTCTCTCATTGCTTTTTTTTTCCTTAAGCTTTTTTAATACCATTGAGAAAGATAGAGGCCCTGCAAGGATATTTGAGACCCGAATCCTACTAATATTTATGAATGCGAAATTTTGTTGGGATGAATGTTTGGTATACAAAAACTACTGGACGGGTTATTTAAACAAATTTTATACATAGGTATATTCTAGACAAATGCATAGAATACTTTTAGCCCGCTGCAGTGAGTATATACTAAAATAATAAATCGAAACGATTTCATTTGGAGTTTAATTTTAGTTTGAGGTTGTTTGTAGTGGATAAAATAAACAAAATACTTGATAAATTTTAGAAACTTACAAAGTTTTACAACAGATCTTTAAATAAACTACATTATCAGAAAGTAATAAACGACATACGCCATATTTAAATAAGGTTTTACTTATTATGACTTAGATATTTCATTAACTCACGGCGTAATTTTCATAAAAAAAAATAAGGTAACTGACAAAACTAATTGTAGCATTCTTTTGTCGCTAGCTGATTGCATAAAACGACGGTTGATGTAAAGATGTTCTAAGGATAGTAAATGTTTGCAGACATTTGTCAAGATGAAGAGGAAACGACAACGCATTTCATTTAGTTGCTCAAGACTGCGCAAATAGTAAATCAACTAACAAGTGGAAATACAATTTGAAAGGACACTCAAGAAGAATTCAAGAATTCCATTCTATAAACTTAGAACTAATAATAAAATAATAATGGGGAACAGAGACCTTGTTACCATTTAAGAAACCTAACAGATCAATCTAAATGCGGTTCCCTCTGATCACCAATCAGACCAACCAATAGTGGTCAATTTACACAATGGACTAATGATAAATGACTTCAGACCATGCTCATCCCATTATCCTCCACAGGTGCCCCGCTAGCGGATGCCGTTACCGCAAGTGTGTAAAACATCCTTATTCTTCAACTGAAAATTTCCAGTTTCTTTTTAAACAAAATATCTCGAAATAATGAGATTAGCACATGGACTTTGCACAAAGACATCTCGCCCTTTTCTGCCAGCCGCAAATTAGCTTCTTTATCTGTGGCGGTTGGACTAGACTATGACAACGTAATTACAGAATCCAAAGCAAAATATCTTAGTTCACCGGGATGGTTACGCGTGAGGGGCACTATGAGCAATATATGATGATGAGGCGTTGATGATGATATGATGATGGCTTAAAAGGTGGACCGCCAACATGATTGCCATTCTAGATACAAAAAAAAGACAATAGTCAATAGATAAATTAAACCTATTATTAGACATTGACGTTTATATGTAAAGGGCGTATATGTATTTTTATTCGTCACTCATACATAGCAATGATTACTATGTTACAAATGTAGAGTATAATCAATTATTTTGATCCAATTAATGAAATTTTATTTTAATTGGATACGCAATTTGGTAATGGATTGTACGTCATAAAAACTTTATGGTTTCCGTATAATAATAATTGTTCGTGTTTTTAAACCAATGTTCACTATAAAGAGTAATCATATACCACATATTACTATTATGTAAAAAAATATCTCTTCTTTTACCTTCTGATAAAAATAAAATTACATATTTGTGATATAAAACATAATCAACTTAAAATCATTGTTTATTTTTTCATTTTTACGTTATGTAGACTTATATGTACATATTACTTATACGGGTGATAATATGTCATCATAATACATAAGTTTATTTAGCAGTAGTTTTAAGCTAATTCAAGCTAATAATACTATTCATATATAATTACTACTTGCCTAGTCATTAAAAATAATAACAAACGAATATTAAAATATAATTTTAAAATAATTAACATGTGGTCTGAGACATTCATCCATCAAACAAACACGTGGAACGAAAAACATATTTGACCCAGTCAAGGCCACTAAGGATATAGTTACAAACAACTAATATATGAATACACTAAATTTAGCAATAAACATTACGTCAATTAAATTGCTATTAAAAAAACTTGAAATATTGGAAAGTGAAAGACATGACCGTAAGTACACCAACATAAACGACGAATTTTATAGTTCCCTAGAGCTAGCTTTGAGGGTGAACAAACTCCAGTCATTCTCTATAAACAATGTTTACGAATACTAAATAACATTTACAGGAAGGCATTGTTTTTAAAATTGTAATCAACAGTAATCCAAATATTGGAGCGTAAATAAACCTAAATTAGGAATATCCTATAAAAATATATATCACCCGAATTTATCAACTGAAACAGCCAGTTGAATAGCCAAGAGTAGATAAAACTTTGTAGACACAATAACATTTAGGCAATTATAACGTCTAGGCATTGACGGTTAGGCAATCTGCTTCTTAGTGAATTGGAGTATTAGGTATTTATGCCCGCAGTGGCATGTTACAGTTAGACAATGTGATCATAACCCAAAATATTTAGTAATAACAAAGTGTCTATTGCTGCGAAATAAGTTTGAGGCAATGGTACTTACAATCTGCTCACCACTGAGCAAATAACCACTACGTTAGTACGTTTTGCTAATTTTTATGAGGCATATCTGTATAGGTATGTACTTCTAAACATTCTTGGGTTTAGAGTGCCTCAACTTCCGCTTTGGCGAAGCTATAAAAAGTCGGCAGATCTTCAAACAAGAAATGAATTTAAAAACAAGGTTGTTTTCACAATATGTTATCCTCTGCTATAAATTAATTCAAATTTTATACGGTCATTCAAGTTCATTATTAAATATTCAAGTACCTTTAAGGTATTATTAAATATTCAAGTACCTTTAAGGTACACGCACATCAAATTTTTATAACACCTAGTTGTTTTTCTACTGTAGTCACGTATGAAATATCTTAAAGAAGAATACCTATGAGTTTCATACTGTTTAATTGAAATAACATAACAAATCATCATGACTAATATCCCTAATGGCAGACATTAACAGAGACATTTTTAACTATCGCAGTTGTAGTGAACGCAACACTCGCCCACATTTCATGGGGTAAATTTGAATATAACGTGGCAGTGGGTGAACCTACTCGCCTCTCTCAGATAAATTTTTGGTATCATATCGATGTTGAACGGAAATAAATAATTGAAGTAAATTACTCGTATATTTTATTACGGTCAATTTCCAAGTTAAACTCCACAATTATTTTAATATTAAGCATGATTGGTTGGTTAATGGTTTCAATACTACAATGTTTATGTAATGTATTTAATTATTATTAATATGTTTCAAACAAATTTGTCTTTTTTAGTCTTTTCTATAAAATTCATATAGATATTTTCGCTAATTGACAACCTATTCCTGTATTACTACAGTACGAAATATTAATTTAAGATATAAAGTTGTTAACTAAATATTTATAAGTACATGACAAACAAGTGGATTCAAAGCCAGTTTTAGCCAGTATACAGTATTATTTTTATAACAATTCTCCCTCTTAAAAGATCTTTATTACTTTGGCACACCTAATCTACATTCTTATAGTTAAAAATATAAGAAAGAAAACCGGTTCACGATGTTATAGATATGGAAATTACTTTTTTGTCAATTTCTATACATAATTTATATGCAGATCTGCGATTGCAGGTTTTCGTTTATTAATAAAAAAAAATTGAGCTGTCTTATCTCATTGCAGTCATTACTTCAGGAAATTTTACTCCATTTTAGTTCTATTGTTTTGTACAATGTTCTCGTATGGCTGTCCGGTTTTTAGCTAAAAACCGTACCAGATGAAGGCAAATTGCGAGCAGCTCTGTCACCAAGTAGGGCAGCGAAAAGACACCATCATGAAAGCCACGACCACTGTCAAGAGTGTACGTCTAAACAAGAAACTATGCACTCTGCGTATAATATAATATACAAAATACAATAAATTACCTTATGTTATAAAAAATGAGAATAGATTATCCGGTATATTTATTATCCAGTTAAAACAAATGTGGACAAATAAAGCCTAAAAAACTAAACTTGCAAAATGTAGATAAGTAATAAAAAAACGTCCGCCTCTCTTCCACGTTGCAACACCTAAAAGGTGCATATTATGTGTGTGAATTAATTAATATACCATAATTGTGTAATGCAACGTAAATAAATAAACCCGGACTGGATTACTAATCCGGGCTACATTCGCTTGAACCGGACCGGTTTATAAAACGCGGAAAGCATTCAGTGTGACAAATGCTTAATAACGCCAAAGTGTACATTGTAGTGGATAAATTTTGTATATATTTCATTCATTCATAACACGGATGTTAAATTTGAATTCCTAGAATGGTAATATCTTCACGTAGGTTCACCATTTATGACATAGTAAAATTACAAGCATAAGTTTGTATTGAAATATACATATTAAAATTCCTTGAGCGAGTTCGCAAACAATGGTTTGGTCATAAAATCTTAGAAAGTACATATGCCATTCTGATATTTTAATCACACCACAGATTTTATATCGATCGCAATTTTTTTTATTATTCAAGATTTTCTATAAGATGAACGTGTTTAATTCAGATTAGGCTACTTATATGGTCTCTGATCTATGTGTAAATCTCTTCAATTATGTGGGCTGAATGCATCGAATCGGATATAATACTCAATATTATAAGACCTACTTGTAACACTGTATTCTGCAAACAAGTGAAAAAAATAAGTGATTAAAGGGTAATTGTGTAAGTTTGTAATAACAAGAACTTAGTACTAGAAAAGTTCGTAATTCTACGGACAAAAATAGGTGCATAGGTACGGAATTACATATAGAACCTGTTAGCACTTGTTCTGTCTATGTCGTATCACATGGCATGACGATATAAGTATTAATAATAATAGCCTAGAACAATTCACAACGTCATGTAGTCCCAAGTAAAGCATAGCTCGTGTATTGGGTACTAGACAACTGACACAAATATGTACTTAAATATATTTTCTTGTAAATACATACATAATATACATAGAAAACATCAAGACCGATACAAAGTATCATGAATACAAATGAAACCTTGTGAAAAGTAGTACCTGCGACCATCGGAAGCAAGCGGTTTGCTAAACCGCTAGACCACCGAGGCCGTCAAGTAGATATAAATAAATAAGTATAAGCGACCCGCCCCAACTGTCGCATAAGGGCAATATAAAATAAGGTTTTTTATCTCTTTAAATAAAATACAGCTCATATCATTTGCTGGTATTGTAGGTTTCTATAGGTGAAAGTATATTTAAAATCGGCAAATAAATAAGTATTTTTTCGTTTCATTCATAACAAATATAAAATTCAATTATTTCCTTTTATAATAACCTTATTCTGGATCAGGATGTTTGTTATTCTTTCACGCAAAAACTACTGAATGGATTTTTATGAAACTACAGTAATATACCTTATACATCAGAATTAAATATAGGCTATAAATTGCACAATGAAATCACGTGCACAGCTAGTAGTTTATATTAGTGAACAAATCAACAATAATATCGATATTTTAATCTTGTTTTTTAAATACACATGTAAGAGGATAAAATAGATACTGGCCACCTATTTTTGGTATGAGCGTGTATGTACATATTTTATGAGGCATTAGTCTATGGCTATAAACATTAGCGTGCATACTCTATGTTCAGCAAGTGCAATATGACGGTGACTGACCGATGAGTCAGATGCTTCCTTCCTTAGAATCGTAGACTTAGTGGAACACGTTTATGATAACTAGCGATTCACTTTCACCTTCCTTGATGCAATTAAATATTTCTTTATATGTAGTGTAACTTGGTATAATTTAGTGTTAAAGGTTAAAAAAGTCATGCCTCCGTATCTTAACCTGTTTTTTTGTAACTGAGCATATTTTTAATAATAATAAAACTAAGCCATACGCCATGTAACCTCCATGCAACGATATACAGCTCCATGGTATTCAATGAATTTCAGCTATTAAGGGATATTTGTTTTTTTGTAATAAGACATAAATTTCCTGTTTTAATACAGAAACAGTTGTACAACATCTTAAGTCATGCAAGTCAAAAACTTAAGATATTACATAAATACACATTAATTACCGATCATTTAAGGAACGTCTCTGAGTGTGGTCGTAAGAGATTTTATTTGTATTGAAAATATACCGTAGTAGTGATATAGTGTAGATTAAAATAAATATTACAATAAAAAATATAAAGCAAATACACAGACTGATTCATTCATTGCTAGAAACTATTGCCATAAGCAATTCAAATTACCACGCGTCTCGCATGAATCGGATCAAGACACCTTAATTAGGATGAAGGGGACGCATGAGAAAAACTAGGTTCTATTATTAGAATACATCACAAGGTTAAGACTGGTACCAACCTCCTTGGTCCAAGGACCCTTGACTAGTTCGGGGTTGACGACCTTCGTCCAACGCTGTTGGCACTGAACGTCTGATCTGTCGGAAAACTGGGCCGCAATCAGCTCCCAGTTCTCACTGTACATCCTCACGTAATTTTTTAACCTCTTGTCCTGGAAATAAAACATACATTCCTTTAATCTGTGGTCACATAATTCGTGCCGGCAAAGAATACAGTAACAGCATTCCGATGTCTTTTCAGGGAAACGTAGTTAGCAATCTGGTTAGTGATCAGGTCAATATTTTCTTTTCTTCATACGAACTTATTGTAGACTTGTTACCATGGCAAAATTTTAGTGTTATACATGTGTTATTATATTTACAATAAAATACAGCCCTAGTTTTTTAATTATTAAATTAAAGACAAAATTAGAGTCGTATCATATCAGGATTTCAAAAGCATGATGGAAGTTCATGGAAAATGACAAAAGCTCACCGACAAGTGCGGCTCATAAATTGCGTGTCAATAAATGAATTAATGAATTTTACAGTTTAACAATACAAAAATAAAATATTTCTACTTTAAATTCTATTACAATAGATATATTTTTATTTTTACGGCTTGCAATTAAATACATATTTTTCTTTATTTCTAATTAATGTTATCTAATAAATTTTATTCATCTACCGATGATATTTATATTGAGGTGACGGTTACCGCTTTCCATGAGGTGTGCTTATGTGGTTGCCAAGCGGTCTTCCTTTGTCAAAGATGAGATATGGTAGTGAAATTATGTAGCACACAGACAACATTATAGTTATCATAAATGCCATCACGGTCGTAAGGGTCCATTAAAACTTAGTCTAACGAAATTCTTGATTTTTTACTCTTCCTCCCTGACCGTCCTTGTCGCTTTATTGTTATTTTGTTTAATATTTAACATATTTAATTTTTTATTTACTTAATAGAGTTTTAAGAGAACCTCTCCATTATTCGTGGATGATGAATCATAGATGTCGGTTACCACTTGACATCAAGTGCGCCGACAGCTGATTTGCCATTTCAGTCATATAAATATTATAAGAAAGTGTAACAAACCTCCTCCTTCGTCCATCTCCCTCTATTGATATTCTTCCGCGACCCAGTACTTTTGGTTGTAGCCGGCACATCCTCGTACACCGCAGAATCCTCTGAATACTCGCTCGTCTCTGAGTCATAGCCGCTTCGTCTGTTGACAACATATAAAGGAAATATAAATGAAGTTCAATCTGATATGATAGTACCGCTAGTTCCCATAACTAACAATGAGTATATTTGAACCAGATCTAATGAGTATATTTGAATCCAAGATAGCAGATGCCGAGATTCAATTTTAGACCGAATTAATTTTTTATTTATTATCGGTGATCGGTGAAAGAATCACGCGGCAGTCATTCAGAAATTGACACAAAGTATTTTTGGTAGCGACCAACTTGGAATTTTAAAAAAGTACAATATTTAAATAAAACTTAAAACTAACAATCCATTAACGCATTTAATTTAGTTGCCTTATAGGACTCTCAACTCACTCGACTCTCAACTCGCGCAAAAATAATTTTGATTTTCTTTCTTTAATTTTTATTAGTCATTATGAAAAATATTCTAACATTCGATACCTACGTTTTGTATGGAGCTATGGAATTTCATCTTAAGTGAAGTCTGTTATGAATTTACATATACGAGTAAACAAATATAAACCTCTATTTTAGAGGACTTCTCTAAAAGTTATTTATGTAAGGTAACAACCTTTTGAACCGCATACAATAATTAAAACACTAAACCATTTAGTTAACACTTCAAAGTTCAAAATTTACATATTTTACAACCTGTTTGAAATAACGATGGCTCTCAAAACAAAAGCTCTATTCATTATCAACCCTTCATTATTTTACCCAGGATGGTGGCAAACAGGCATTAGTTTCTACTTTATCAATCCTTATCTGTAGATAAGACGAGAAACACAGTTTTGTTTTCTGAAACGAAGGTCTTCAAACAGACAATGGTAAATTATTTCTACTTCTTCCTGGTAATATAGTAATGTTTATGTGAAAGTAGGTAAAGAAACTATATCAGGTAACCGTTAAATGAGGTTGCCGAGTAAAATTTCTTTAATATATCACACACTTTATTATATACAGTGTCACCTTAAAAAATACAGAGTTCGGAAATTCGACATTACAGCAATTGATTAAAGAATATAATCCAAAATTTGTTAATTTTAAGTTAATGCTAATTATTATTAAGTTTGCGCCGAACAATGAAAGAAGAAAGATAATAAAGTACTATGAGAATGAAGTCAGGTTAATTACTCATCTAAACTATGTAATTCACCAGGAATAAACCAAGATTAGTCGACCACGTGGAGATCAACTGACATGGTATTTTGCGAGCAATGAGGCCACTAGTACCCATTGTAAAAAAAAATAGTGTAATTACTATTTGATAGATAAATATTATTATTTTATTAGTCAGTATTTTATTTAATTAACTATTTTAACAACAGTATTAACATTACTGAAAATCCAAAGCGGTAATGTAACTCAATACAATTCATATACTTTATATAATTGAAGTGTAAGTAGATAATTTACACATAACAATTCAAGATACTTTTGTATGGATTCTGTGATTTTCGGCAGACTACAAACAAAAATAACAATATGACTCGTGATTTTGTTCAATTATCCTTAAGGCACAAGATAAAGGAATGAAATAACTATGTTCAGTATTCAGTCAGACAGAACCAATTTACTTAAATACACCATTTTAAATAAATTGATCCTGCCTGAATAATGAACTTAGTTATTTCATACAATACAATATGAGTATTTCAATGTAACATTCGTTCATTGGCGCCAAATTATTTTCCATTTCGTAAAAGATTACCTAAAAAACGACGAGTGTTTTGTTCAAGGGTTCTATACAAGAGTATTAATGCAAAACAATTTTGAACTGTATCCTTATTGGTACAAGGTATATTATTCAGTGATTTATCAATAAAAAGCCACAGGAAACGAAGGATCTACTTTACTAGCGAGAAACGAGTTCTCATAATAAGATGTGGAAAAATATCCCATACCGGTTTAATATCAATAATTCCTGATTCGACTTTCGATGAGGTAAGAATGGAAATAAAAAATGTAGACAATTTATTCATAGCTACATACTATCAGCTGATGAAGAAACTGGTTTATATTCTCATTCATTGTAGAGAAACATATATTATGTTGAAGGTCGCAGAATAATTGAAAACGCCATAAAAGTAAGAAATTACGACTATTCGATTTAATTATATCTTCATTATGTATATAGTTATATACATAATAAAGATACAATATAATACACACACACACACATAATAAAGATGTATAAACACTGGTAACACGGTATGCAGTAAACGTGAATTATTGTAGATGTATCCTATATATTAATCAAAGATGACCTATTTGTGTACCAAATTACTTTCGAATCCGTCCGGTAGTTTATATGTGTAAAAGTAATCAATATTCACTTATACATCGTCAGAAACTTACGCATTTATAATATCATTGAACATTATTCTTTGAGTATTGTTAAGTTATTTTAAACCAAAACTACATTAAAAAAACTTTTATTCATGGTGATGTAAGTTAAAAAAAGACAATGAAAATTATCACTTAATAATCACTATATTAACTCGAAGCAATTAAAGAGTTGCATTAAAATAATATCTTAAACGAAATTATATTAAAAAAATAAAAGAATTTCAAATAATCGAACAACATAGAACAACTCACTCATATAACATCCCGCCGAATTATCCGAAGAGAAATACGAAGATAAACCACTTCAAACGACACTCCATCGTCAATTTGTCACATAAAAATACATAACTTACACATTATCACTAACAAAATATGAAATTGCACAAATCTTATCGTTAATCCTCGAAGAGTTCCCGCCAAAAGTCCCAAATCACATTTCTACATTTATAAGCGACTCATGCGCATCAAACCTCACGACGAACTACATTAAATAAAATGAAGAAAAATTCCCTTCCCTTGTTCCCACACTCACACATTAACATTCACAAACACACCTACACGGACCACATACGTAAGCAAGACGTATTAAGGGTGAAAGGACAAAAACCCTGGAAGGGACGAAAAAGGGACAGTAAATTATAAGAGGTAGGCGAGCGAAAAGGATAGATTGTCAGGTACAAAAATCATACCCCGTAATGGGAACGTGTGACGCAATACAAGCGAAGGAAAGCAGGTGTAAGCAACTGGTATAGAAAAGGAACAAAGAAAATCGATTTTATACTTTTTTTATTGGATAGGTCAGAGTCCGACAAATGTTATGTTAGCATAGTACCATGGTAAGTAATCTACCTAAGATATACAACTAGCGACCCATTCCGGGTTCGCTCGGAGTCAATTACGTAAAACCGTCAAAATTTTTGTAGGCAAAATACATCGCATCCCATGGTTACTTGTTGATAATATAACTTCATATACTAAAAGATTTTTAAAATTGAACGAAAGACATTTTGAATAAAATATTTAAAAGTTAAATTAGTACCAGAATAAGAGCGAATTTCTGAAATAATATACCATCATACGTTCAAAAAAACGTACAAAAAAGAGTGTTTCCACCCATTTCGCAATGTGCGGCGGATGTTACGGTAATTTCGAACGGGAATTCGGTCTTGCCTCTTGGGGGATGCAAAAATGTTGCAAATGTTTCCAATCAGCTGATGTTTCAAAATCGCCAAATGTTTTGAGAAAAAATTTTAGCTTTAAATCGGCAAGTTAAACTGAAATGGTATCAGAAATACATATGTATCGTTTCCGGTTACTGATACAATGATAAGGTTTACTTACATTGTGAATGCAAGTGTAAGGGCATTGCCAGATACGAAAAAGTCTAATCAGAAATAATGTTGATAAGGAAAAATTTTCACACCGACAGCAAATCATTATTATTACTTTAGACCAGACAGATAGATCGAAATAGTTATAATGTATGTACCTACTTTTAAATAGTCTTTTTTTTCTTGATCACCCAGAATGCACATTCAACAAAGAATGGACAAGAAAATTGCCTCTTGCTCTTTTAAGCAAATGTGCAACTTCTAAGACTTTAAGAGAATACTAACTGTCACATAGCATGAATTGATTACAGTAAAATTAAAAAAAAAGATAGGTACTCGAGTAACAAAATAAATCAATCATAGTGAACAGAGCAGACATGTCCCTACAGACAGCATCCATTCACAAGTATAATGAATTTATATACTTACTATATTGAATCAAAAGTAAAAATAATATTGTAATGCTATTATATAATATAGTAATGCTATTGGCGAAGATTATTAATAGATCCATTGAATATGACCAGTGACATAAAATGACACCATTATTCTTCTTAAAATAAATAAATAAAATAAAAGTAGAATACAGTAAATATCGTGATATAATCTAGTTATATTGTTATCAAGTTACAATACGCGGAAGTTCAGCAATTATTTTAAACCTAAAATTAAAGAACATTACAAACGCTGTTTACATAATTAAAATAAAGGAAGAAGCCATTTCCACCTGTCCCCTATGAACAACTGATCTGAAGAGTGATTGTACAAAAAAGGAAATAAAACAAAACATATAGAGCATGTCAACGATCCACCGACTATTTTAGTTTAGAAGTTATAGGATATGAAATTAAGTTAACTTTTATGTAGATTCAAAATTAAGTTTTATTTCATCGATAATAAGATCAATAATTATGTGATTCACATATTATATTAAGTACCTAATATTACAGGAAGGTTCGATATAAAAAGTATAACCGTATAACCAGATAAAAACTTCATATACTTAAGTACTGATAAGTACACGTATATTAAATATTAAATCACGGTGAATTTAGTCGACAAACTAAAAAAATATATATAAAGATTTGTATGACTATATTTAAGACAAAATATCTACATTGGCATTGGACAGTGCAAGTAATGGAGAAATCTCTACTTTTTTTTAAATAAAATACAGGCAATATTATTTGCTGATAACATTATAGATTTTTTATATCATAAAACCTACATAGGTTTTATGACATAAAAAAAAATTTGAATATTTTTAAATTTATAATAAATTACAAACAAAAAGTCAAATGTTTACTCTTCATAGTTAAATTCCATAATTAAAT